GCTGGTGGCTCTGGCACCAAGTCTTCCTCTAGCCTCCGTTTCCATGATCCATCCGGGAAGATCTCCACCTCCTCCAGCTCGTCCTCACCTTCGACTTCTGCAAGAAGCTTCTTTAAATAAGGATCAATCCGCAAATCGGTTGCCTTGATAAACTGCGCAAATCGAAGATGTTAGATCTACATCAATGGAGCAACAAACAAGGGGCTACTTACTCGATGGCACACTGTACACCGCCACGCCTTTGACCGCGCTTTCTTGCTGAACATCATAAACGTTTTCAGGTCAAAGCACTGCAAGTGCTTGCAGTGTATCCCTCGCGCTGGGAGATTAATCACGCACAAGCCCAGCGGACAGCGAACTGACAACATTGTGACAGTAGCGACGACATCATCTTCATCTTCACTGCCAAACGACTTGATAACTTCTTGCTTGGCACCCTCGTACGTCAGATTCTTTGATGCCTCTTTTACCTCATTGACGAGATCGTTAATATTGCGCACCTCCACGATCTGCACCATGAATCCGAACACCGACGGGTTCTCGGTAGTCCGTATGTCCACCACGTTTCGTCCTACTCGTGAGTACTGGAAAATATTTGCTGGTAGCTCTCGTAATACTTTGGAAGGGTTTGCGTGTCCAGGAGGAGCACGCTGTGTGATCGGTACGCCGAAACCGTTCACGCTCAACTGTGTCGACGCTGGCCAGCAATGTCCTGCTGCGAGATCTTCTTTCACTGCGAAGCACCGCAGCTGCAGCTCCAACGATCCTGGCGTCATCGATCCAGGCTTCGGATCTCTGTTAGCATACATGTTGTTAAGGTCGTTGTCGGTAATGTAGTACTCTAGTCGGAAAGAGCTGGCCGGCTTGGCGAAGCGCACAAAATTGGGATCCAGCACTGTCTTCTGCACTCGATAGAACGGATCGTACGTCTTGGCTCGACATATTTCGCAATACCACTCGCCACTCAGCTGTATCAAGCACAAATGACACGAAATATTGCTGTCAGCGTAGCACCAAGCGTTCAATACGCAGTTTAACCCACCGTTATCAGCTGATGGCACTTGGCATGTACTGCCAAGCCGCAATCCACACACTTGATCACCTTGCCTGACACTCCTTGCGTCACACAGAAGCATCTCGCGCCGTTTAGCGCCGCAGCTTGTGTCGGGTTATACAGATCCACTCCACTGGTCAACGGGATCACACCTGTTCCTTGTGGAGCGACATTTACTGCTCCATACGCCACTGGAGGTCGAGGCGCAGGGTTGCGCCCGTATATAGGGGCGGGAATAGACCGAGACGGTGGAGTCGTGGGTGGGATTGCCCCATAACGTCCCGGGATCTGCGACGACATGTTGCCCGTGTGATAGCCGCCCTGTACGACTTGCGGCGCCGGCATGTAGGCTGTTCTTCCTCTCGTCTGCTGCTGCTCGATGCTCCGCATACCAGCCGCGAGTCGCTCGGCGTAGAATGCGGCGGACGTGGTGCCTCGAGCCTTGTCGGCGAAGGACTATTTAAGCACATAACTACATGGTGAGCGACGAATTACGGGACAACACTAGTAAAAATTAGGGCAGCCGGACCTCCAGTTCGATGGTGATACGCTCTACGAGCTCCGACTTGCGTCCAGAACGCGCCAAGTTGAGGTCCATGAGGATGTTGCGAAGTTCCGGCATGCGTAACTGGTTCAGACGCGCGCGGAGGTCACGCAACTGGGCAGATGAGGCACTCATTGTTGCCAGTGTCTCGGTGGCGAAGGTGCTGACCGGCCTGTGCGTTGGCCTAAAAGCTTCTTCTCACCCGCCCTTCACTCGGTCTCTCTGTGCGCTCCGACGCATGCCCTGCTTTGCGCCATGTGGGTAGTGGCGCATTTTGTAATTTGGCGCGAGAACTCAAGAGCTTCGCCAAGAAATTGATGTCAGGAATCGTATTGGCTTACAAAAAAACCGCATGTAAAATAGGGAAACATTGCACCGTCTTTGGCCGGTTTTTAGGCTATATATGTAGTTCTGTAAAACAAGAAGTCACATCATGCAATTTCTCATCTTTCA